AGTAGAAGTACTCAGATCTTGTACTTGAGTAAAAGTAGAAGTACTCAGATCTTGTACTTGAGTAAAAGTAGAAGTACTCAGATCTTGTACTTGTAAATCTACATATTTACTTGACAACACTGGATTTAATGAACACTCCTTCTGTCCTCTTCCTCTGTCCTTTAATCTGTGTCCCTCTCCTGTCTCTCTCCTGTCCCTCTCGTGTTCCTTTCTTGTCCCTCTCGTGTCCCTCTCGTGTCCCTCTCCCTCCCCTGTCCCTCTCCCTCTTGTGTCCCTCTTGTGTCCCTCTCGTGTCCCTCCCGTGTCCCTCTCCTGTCCCTCTCCCTCTTGTGTCCCTCTTGTGTCCCTCTCCCTCTCGTGTCCCTCTCCCTCTTGTGTCCCTCTCCTTTCCCTGTCCCTCTCGTGTCCCTCTCCCGTGTCCCTCTCCTGTCCCTTTCGTGTCCCTCTCGTGTCCCTCTTGTGTCCCTCTCCTGTCCCTGTCCCTCTCGTGTCCCTCTCCTGTCCCTCTTGTGTCCCTCTCCTGTCCCTGTCCCTCTCATGTCTCTCTCCCTCTCCTGTCCCTCCCGTGTCCCTGTCCCTCTCGTGTCCCTCTCGTGTCCCTCTCCTGTCCCTCTCCTGTCCCTCTCCCTCTCGTGTCCCTCTCCCTCTTGTGTCCCTCTTGTGTCCCTCTCGTGTCCCTCCCCTGTCCCTCTCGTGTCCCTCCCGTGTCCCTCCCGTGTCCGTCTCGTGTCCCTCTCGTGTCCCTCTCCTGTCCCTCTCTTGTCCCTCTCTTGTTCCTTTCTTGTCCCTCTCGTCTCCCTCTCCTGTCCCTCTCCTGTCCCTCTCCTGTCCCTCTTGTGTCCCTCTCGTGTCCCTCTCGTGCTCCTGTCCCTCTCCTGTCCCTCTCGTGTCCCTCTCGTGTCCCTCTCCTGTCCCTCTCCTGTCCCTCTCTTTATCCCCGTGTCTCATGTGTATTAGATGGAGGACATGTGAACCTCGTGACAGATCCCTCCTCTGTGTTTCTCCCTGACGCTGTGCTCACTCCCAACAGGAAGAAGAGAGCTCAGGCCTCGCCCTCCAGAACAATACAAACCACAACTTAAATGTTTACGTCATTATTTATTCTCATAAGACGAGCCGGAAAGCAAAAGTGGCTCAACTTTACGTGTTGTTTTTTAATACGATTAAAGGAACACACCAACCTGAGACCAAAGAACGCGTACCGAAAGCGTCCCGACTTTTACGTCCGCTACGTCGCCTACACCGCAAAGACTTCAGTCGACGAGTGGCAATAACTGTCCTCACCAGCAGGCGGCGGTAGTGTGTATTCGTCATTCAAAAGAGGCAACAACCAGAAGACAGACTATACACCGAGAGAAGAAGAACAGACAAAGAGCGTCTGGGTTCCATTTCCACTCTCTCCTCGATCGAAAACATGGAAACACAAAAAAGAAACTCTTGCGTCCGGGTGAGATGAAAATGAAAAAGATTAGCCGTCTGTGCGTGCCTTCTTAATCGTTTGTTTTGGTCCCTCACTTCCGCTTCGCTTCTCATGCACTCGCTAAGCTGAGCAGCCAATCTGAGTAGGGCGCCCGACTGCCTCCAAACATGGGGTAGGTGTGTCAGGGCCTCGAGACATCAATACACCCATTCATGCACATCTTTGGGTTTTTGCTATTACTTTGGATTGAATGTGAAAAATCACATTTTTATAGTGCCTTTCAAGAGACCCAAGCTTTACATGCTGTAAACAAACAAACAAACAAACAAACAAACAGGAAAATAAATATCAGTGGGACAGTGATGAACCCAGGACTTCTTCTTCTTCTTCTTCTTCTTCTTCTGTGGACTCTCTGTTCACCTTGTCTTTTCCTCCTGCTCTCTGATTGGTCCTCCTCTCCCCCCTCTCCTCTGATTGGTGCAGAGCCGTGCCCCTCGCTGCTGCTTCAGAGACACATGGCGGAGCTGCTGAGCGTCGATAAAGAAATGGCCGCCTCGTTCCTGAACAGCGTCTTGAACCAGCTCAACTGGGCCTTCAGCGAGTTCATCGGCATGATCCAAGAGGTGGGTGTTATTGTTATTGTTGTTGTTGTTGTTGTTATGATTGTAAACACATCTATAATACCTGTATCTTCCTGTTTCAGATCCAGCAGGCTGCAGAGCGTCCAGAGAGGAACTTTGTGGACACTCGTCAGCTGAAGGTCAATAACATCACTAACGATCAAACCAATTAAATGCTACAGGAAAATCAGACATGGGACTATCATCCAAAACGTAATATGTTAATTAAGATGTGAGTGTGTGTGTCTGTGCAGGTGTGTGCCACGTGCTTTGATCTGTCCGTCAGTCTGCTCCGGGTTCTGGAGATGACGGTGACTCTGGTTCCTGAGATCTTCCTGGACTGGACCCGACCGTCTGCAGAACTGCTGCTGCGGAGACTCGCTCAGGTAAACACACCTGAGGCCTGTACTACGAAGCCGGATTTTCGCTTAGCCGTCTAACTTCATGGAAAACTCTGGGTTTCCGGTCCTACGAAGCTGGTTCACTTCTTAGCGGGCTAGATCTCCATGGTAACCTGCTCCGGGGCAGGTTAGCCGCTCAGCATCAGTTGCCATGGAGATCTAGCCTGCTCAAAAGAGAACCAGCTTCGTAGGACCGGAAACCCAGAGTTTTCCCTGAAGTTAGCCGCTAAGAGAACATCCTGCTTCGTAGTACAGGCCTCTGGCCCTGACCCTCTCCGGAGCTCCTGTGTCTTTGGAGAATCAAATATCAAGTATTTGTTTATCAGTTATATAAAGATGACATTTCTGTCTCTGTGTGATAATAAACAATACTAACGATAATATTATTACTTAGAGTTATTGTTTATATTATAATTATTATTTGGAACATGAAATAAAATAAAAAGATTTTCACAGATTTATTTATTGAAATTGTCATTTTATTGAGGAGGTCAAAGGTCAATCATAGGTCAATCAGAGGTCAGTCTGAGGTCTGAGGTCAGTCAGAGGTCAGATGTCAGTCAGAGGTCAGTCAGAGGTCACAATCAGAAGTCAGTCAGAGGTCACAATCAGAGGTCAGTCAGAGGTCAGTCAGAGGTCACAATCAGAAGTCAGTCAGAGGTCACAATCAGAGGTCAGTCAGAGGTCAGCCAGAGGCCTGAGGTCAGTCAGAGGTCACAATCAGAAGTCAGTCAGAGGTCACAATCAGAGGTCAGTCAGAGGTCAGTCAGAGGTCAACCAGAGGTCAACCAGAGGTCTGAGGTCAGTCAGAGGTCACAATCAGAGGTCAGTCAGAGGTCAGTCAGATGTCAGTCAGAGGTCAGTTGGAGGTCAGAGGTCAATCAGAGGTCAGTTCCTGTGCGTCTCGTTGTTTCTTCTTCGTTGTTTCTCTTTCTGTCTCAGAGCTTTCTTCTCCTTCTCGGCTGCAGAGAGAAGATCTTTGATGCGTCGCTTCAGAGCGCTTCGGTGAGAAGAACTGAACACGCCCAGATCCTGGGGAGGTATCACTCTGAGGGTTATATTAAATACCTATCATCTATATCAGGGGTTTTCAAAGTGTGGGAAGGGGAGCCTCCCCTCAGAGAACATAAGAACAGCCACGCCCCCCCTCCCAATTATTATTGCTTTTATTATTGTTGTTGTTGTTGATGTTGCTATAATGCAGGGGTATTATGATCCAGTGGAAAGCCCTTACCTGCTGGCCTAGTTCAATCAGAGTGGTTACTTTCTGTTGGCAGGGCAGTGTAGCTTTACACAGCGTCTTTGACTTTCTCAGGACTTCAAACTATTTGTTGGGGGCAGACCCCACAAAGACAAAAATATATTTACACACGCAAGGTCATCATCTTAACAGTTTGTTATGCTCATCGAGTCATCCGTGAGCAGAGCATCAAGTTGCCTATAACAGCTGAATGTGGTGATTACCCTCTTGTTCAGCAGAACGCCTCTCAAACTGATGAAGATCAAAGCTTTAGTTCGTTTGATTCAATGCTGAGTGCAGCCACACTGACAGGCTCCTCTCTGTCATTGTAGACCGCACCTCATTCCTTCAGTACTTGGTCCGAATGCGCCGTCCCGTTCAAATTAAATCGCCGCCAATCACATTTCCTTGCTCACGCCAGGGCCGGGGGAGGGGTTACAAGGCTCGCGTCTCGTGCTGCATTCACTTGCACTCAGACATTAGAGATTTTATCTCATCAATG